CAAATTCTATGAGTAGGGTATGGAAAAATTTGAACGTTATGGTTGCTATATATGTTAAAATATGATATAATATTAATAAATAGGCTAGTGTATTCAAGACAAGTTTGTGAAAAACACTCAACACGGAATATCTAGCCCTAGAATAACGCTATTGAAAAAAGTAATAATCTCACAGTTCGAACTCAATGGAATCTCATCGTGATATTTTTTTGTTTTTCATTTTTTGTACCCATGGACGACTAATTCACTGATATGCAATAAAACTTTGTCGAGCTGTAGCGTACATATGAGAAGCTCAATGGAAGAAACAAAAAAGGTCACGTTTAAAAAATAGGAAAATCTGCTCGTGATTATTTTTTAAATATTTTTTCAACACTCTGCCTTCATTTTATGCAATGTTGATTTTCCTGCAAATCATTAATATCGAATATCTCCGGAAATACTTAATCGATTTTCAAAATACAGCCACAAATTTAGAGTCATATTAATGTCTTGATGTGAAGTTTTTCAAAAAAGGTTTTCCATTGTTCCAATTCCGAAAAACGCAAAAACTCGCCAGGAAAATGTTATTAACAGAGAATATCTTCCATAAAAATAATGATATGGCGACGAAATGGAATGTTATGATTAAATCTTTCACCTATCTTCTTGTGAGGTTCGTGATTTTCCTCTCCTTACCCATTCAAGAGCTGAAAATGTCACTGTATAAGTCAAAACCAAATTTTCATGGATGAATAACGCGATAAAATGAATTCAGTTGTGTTCATCCCCAAAAAATAAAACTGACAATCTTCACCCAAAAAAAAAACAAATTTCAAGTTGAGACTTACAATCTCAAATTAAAACTTATGAAAGTCCCAAGTTGAGACTTTCGAAAGTCTCAAGTTGAGACTTTGAAAGTCTTAAGTTGAAACTTTCAGGCTTCACAGAAAAAAGTCTAACGTTCACTGAACCCCTGCAAATGTTGAATCACCCTCAATTTGAATGATCCCCAAATAAGGGCTTATTTACATCCAAATTGGGGGTGATTCAACCATTGTAGATATTCTCTCTATTTGGGGGTGAATCAACCCCAAGAAGGGTCGAGTCAATGAGCCTCAGCTTTTTTTCTGTTCAACCCATAAGTAGGGTTGATTCAACCCGTTAAGGTTGGGGTTCAGTGAACGTTAGATTTTTTATGTTCAACTTGAGATTTTCGAAACTCAACTTGAGGCTTCGAAAGTTTCAACTTGATGTCTTTGAAATCTTAAAATAAAATTTCATTTTTTTGTGTGTTATAGATATTTTTACGCTGATTCCAAATCCGCTTGGAAAGTTTTTCTAGCATAGTTTTTGAGGAAAAAATGTTAAAGTATTGAAAACGAGGCGAAGTGGACAAATCGGAAGATGAGTAGTAGATTGCATCATTAGATTCACAAAGTATTTTACGGCCAACGTGGCTTCATAATCGGAGCCGAAGGTGAGAGTGGAGTCGATACAAAGACCTTTTTAATTTTTTTGAAACGCTAATGACCCATTAAATTCTTGATAAAATGGAATAACTTTGATTATTCATTCAGTAATGAATCCAAACTCCCTGGCCAGTGTAAGATCAAATCGATCTGATTAGTACCTATTCTCGAAGTTGGTGTTTTTTTTTCGTGTACGAATCGGCATTCTCCAACAAATCGGCTATACGATTTTCATTTACTGTTCGTGAACGAACAGCAATTCATGTATGAAGAAGAATTTACCAATGTCGAGAATAAGGGCCCTGATCCAAGCTTGGGTTGGGGTCAGACGTTTCAGATCCAAACTGAATGAAAAATGTTGAGTCTAATTTGGCTATTTGTGATTGATCAGAATCGGATCTGAAATATTTGAGCGATCTCCCGGATGCAGATAATCTATTCAGGCGATGACTGGATCCTTATCCGGGAGATCTGATCAGAAAATCCTGACCAGCAGTGGATCTAAAACTGACTTAGGCCCAGAAAATCTGAGCGAAATTGCCACTTGGGTGTATCATAAAATATAGCTCGTCTTGGTAACAGACAGACGTTGTACAGGAAGATTAGTTTTGTCACTCGGCCGAAAACACTTTGTGAACCTAATTATGCAATCTACTATTCTTCTTTCGAATTGTCCATTTTGCATTGTTTCCAATAATTCAATAATTTTTTATTTTTTCAAAAACTATACTAGAGAAACTTATCAAACGGATTTGGAATCAACGTAAAATAATCTATAAGACTGCGTCTATTCCATTTTCAAGGATGGACCCATGCAAATTCATTTTATCACGTTATACGTCCATGAAAAATTGGTTTTCGTTTATATAACGACATTTTCAGCTCTTGAATGGGTAATAAGAGGAAAATCACGGAGCTTACCAAAGGATAGATGAAAAATTTAATCATGACATTCCATTGCGTCGCCATATCATTATTTTTATGGAAGATATTCTCTGTTGATAGCATTTCTCTGTCGAATTTTTGAGATTTCCGAAATCGGAACAATGGAAAACCATTTATGAAGATCTTCACGTCAAGATATTAATATGACTCAGAATTTGTGTCTGTATTTTCAAAATCGCTCAAGTAATTTCAGAGATATTCGATGTTAATGATTCGCAGGAAAAACAACATTGCATAAAATGAAGGTAGAGCATTGAAAAAATATTTTAAAAATAGTCACGAGAAGATTTTACTATTTTTTAAACGTGACCTTTTTTGTTTTTTTCATTGAGCCCCTCATGTGTACGCTACAGCTTGACAAAGTTTTATTGCATATCAGTGAATTAGTCGTTCATGGGTACAAAAAATGAAAAAAAAAATATCACGATCAGATTCCATTGAGTTCGAACTGTGAGATTGTTACTTTTTTCAATAGCGTTATTCTAGGGCTAGATATTCCGTGGTGAGTGTTTTTCACAAACTTGTCTTGAATACACTAGCCTATTTATTAATATTATATCATATTTTAACATATATAGCAACCATCACGTTCAAATTTTTCCATACCCTACTCATAGAATTTGATTTTTTATAGATATCACAATTTCCTGACGAGATATGCATTGTTAAAAATTTTCTTTGATTGAAATCTGCAAACTTCAATGTCATGAAGATTGCACGTGGGAAATGAAGCACCCAGCGCATTTGCTGGGAAATTATATTGGATTTCGAATGGAAAATGTTAGAAATTTCTCGTCGATTCTATTACAAAATTCCACAATTCGCGATCGCAAAGGAGATGTGGGAGCCACCAAGTGGTTTCTAAACTAACTACTCTTGGAGGGCAACCACTGAGATTCCTCGAAGGGAGCCAATGATGGAGCTCAACAAATGAGATCAAAGAGAATCCAGTGATCTCATTGGTTGCCCGCCAAGAGTAGTTAGTGGAGAGATCACTTGATGGCTCCCACATCTACGTTGCGATTGCGAATTTTTCCACACGTTTTTTTATCATGCAAATATTTGATACATTAACAGCCAGGAATAGCTCAACTGATTGGGTTGGAATTTAGGATCTTTTCTCCTTTTTAGAAAATCCATGCGAGGGAAAAAACTAAATGGAATCAGTCGAACTCGAAATATCTCGAATGAGGACAAGTTTCAGCGGGAAAGCCGACAGATGGCGCTCACAAAAGGGTCACTGTAAATGGGTATTTTCATAAGCGATTTTTGCGAAAATGAGCGCGAGTTTTAAAGCGTATTTCTACCCTGAAATAAGAAACGAGAAAATAATCTGCAATAATATCTATCAGATAATATTTTCCATATATGCACACACTAATTTGGCTATTATAAAAGAAAATATTGTAAAATTCATATAAATTAAAAAATTTATAATGATATCTAGACCTTATCCAGTGAGCACAGAAATTTCCAAATTACTTATTGAAATATGAAAATTGCACAGAACATGAATGGAAATACATTGCTTTTAACGATCATATATATAGTACAATGAAAATAATTTTAAATAACTAATTTTGGAGAAAATTTGGAAAGGATTAGAAAAAAAACAAGGAATGGACATCAACACCCCCTTGCGGCCGAGGTGACGCTAGTCTATCAAATACCAAATTTTCATCACGCTGTGCGAAAAAGTAACTTTTTAGGCACGCTTCTACGTTCACCTCGTGCCGAAAAGTGCATCTTCGTTTACTTTTCGTTTACGAGTAACAGCAGCAGTGTCAAAAAACATTTTATATCATTAGGCCCGATAAACCGCGATTATAACCTCGCTTCGCTCGGTTAGATCGCGGTTTTCGGGCCCAAGGACATAATATATCATATGTCATACGGCGATAAAAGCATTATCTGGCGAATGTGGCTTTATAATACTTTTTTGTCACTGCTGCTACGTTCAGCCCGTGTCGAAAAGTGCCTTTTCGTTTACAAGTTTCGACTTTTCGTTTACTAGTAAACGAAAAATGGCACAGTTCGGCACTCGCTGAACGTAACATCACTAACAAAATAGTATATTTCGTAACGAGTGCAAAAAAGTGTTTTTTGGCGAGTGGGAGGTTTATATCACGAGCCGAAGGTGAGTGATATAATCCCACGAGCTAAAAAACATTTTTTCACGAGTTACGAACAATATTTTTCATCACGTTGTGACGAAAAGTGAACACGCTCCGCGTGCCTAAAAGTCCAATTTCTGCCACATTGTGATGAAAAATATTGTTCGAAACTCGTGAAAAAATGTTTTTTGCACTTGTTACGAAATATACTATTTCATCACAATGTGGCGGAAATTGGACTTTTAGGCACGCGGAGCGTGCCGAAAAGTTCACTTTTCGTCACAGCGTGATGAAAAATATAGTTCGGATACACGTGCGACGGGGTGTTTTAACTCGTCGCACTTGTATCGAAATATACTATTATCGCCTGATGACATAATATACTAGTTCAACACATGTAAGACGGGGATTTTCAGCGCGTGTAGTTGGCAGCCCTCGGCTTCCCTCGGGCCGCCAACTTCACACTCGTAATAATTCCGCCTCACTCGTATCGAAAGATACAATATCATCACACCACACATAATAACAGAAAAACTGAAACTTTTTCCATTTCTCTGTCCTCCGTTGACGGCTTTTGTTGACAATTCTTAAAAACTGATATTTGTTCATTAGAAACACAAAATTTAGTACAGTAAAAGCTAAATTCAATTAAATTATGGAAGATTAAATTGTTGATACATCAACGTGCAGTGATTTGCAAGTGCAGGTATCGCCTACTTTCCTCCGTCACCCTAATTCCAGAGATTGTTTGAATACCTCATCGGCTCATCGTCCACTTCAGCTTCCGTCACGGCGTTACATCAAAATAAACCAGCTTCGCTAGACTAAATATCAAATCAAGAAACGGCCACAAGATTGTGGATAATAACAATAATAATAAAGAATGGAGGTGAGAGAAAAATATACAAAGGATAACAGCTGAACAGCCATTTGTATCTGGCTCTATTTGCATGACAGTTGGACGTTTTGTCACGGTTTGGTTTCCAATTTGCAGTTTACCCTTCCCGTGTAGGTGAAATCTACTAATTAAGACATTAGAGTTCATCATGCCAGGAAATAATAAGAGTAAGTAAATTGATTAAATACTCGAGATTTCATGGATTATTCCCTGCTTTTCGTATGGTTATGGACGTTTATGAACGGTCAGCACATAACCCCTGTGGTAAATGTGTGGCTTATGACTCGGTAATTTTCTCTTCAAATAATTTATTCGCTCTATGTTGAGAAGCTTATTGTAATAATTTCGCTACGGAGATTGTCAAAATGAATCGGAAGGAGGGAGAAGTTTTTGGTAGCTGAAAGCATCCATCGAGCGACATTTCATACGCGATGGGACATCTAAGAAAGTAGGAACATATGTCGAATTCAGGCCGTACTTTATGCTAAACTTCATTTTCTGAGTTTTTATGATGAAAAATCGTCCTTGGATAATTTTCGTTCAGTTTAAGTTTGTTTCCATGGTCATTACACTCAAACGAAAGTGGGCGTCCATTTTGCTTCCGAATGGAAGCTTTTTTTTTGACCCATTTTTTCGATTTTCTAATTTTGATTTTACAAATGGTGTAGAATGTTATGGAACATGAAGAAATTATGTTTTAAGAGTCATTTCTGCATGTATGTATCAGACAACTTGGATTTTTGATGATAATTTTTAGAAAATTCAACATCAATCCGGTGAAATTTGTAGATAAAAATCAGAAATTTCGATTAATTGTAGCTATTATTGAGCTCAACTTTGGCACGCTGTTTCAGCCCGATTGGTCCAATAATTCCTGAGATATAACAATTTGTCTAATTTTCATTTTTCCTTCATATCTCAAAAACTACTACAGCGATTTCAAATTTTTTCGCTTCAATTTTTTTAAATTCATACACGCAGGATGACCACCGGATACTTAAATCATGCACCAAGTCATTCCTAGCTATATTTTATTATTATATTGCACTGCATCGCTCAAATTCGAGTTTTCGATTTTCTTTTGTATTAGAAAGAATAACTAAATATAGTCTGAATAGTCCGAATATGCAATTTGAAGATGATGTTCATGCATATGAATATGTGCATGCATGCATGTATATCTGCTTCTTGAAACAACCGACAGATGGCACTTTTCAGGCAGTCTGAACATCGACGCACTGTCGCCAACTTTGAGACAAAAAGTCTCACAGCAATTTCGTTTTCCACAAAAACGTCAGGAAAGGACGTGGCCGCGGCTTAATAATTATTTTATTAAATTGTTACAACGCGGATTGAGCCAATTACATTTTTACGTAACAGAGGACGCTGATCAAAAATGATGAAGAAAAATAGGTGTGCGAAATTGACGAAAAAAAAAAATCTCGTAATGGAGCGGATCGTAGATGTATATAGACGCAGTAGCCTTACGCTGGCGGTAAGATTTGAACCGGCACATGGAGTAAGACGCTACTGCGTTTTTTGATTCCCCAAGAAATCACTAAGACTATAGCTAAGAATGATTCGGCGCATGATTTCTTTATCCAGTGGTCATCAGGGCCACGTAGGTTTCAAAATACATGCACCAGAGGTGGAAGTACATGTTTATTCTCCGAGGAATTATTGAAAATATAGCTAGGAATGGCTTGGTGTATGATTTAAGTATTCAGTGGTCATCGGAACGACGAGAATTTCTAAATACAGGTTTTTGAGAGTACAGTAACGTGATTATTCTCAGAGAAAAATCAAAATCTGAGGTGCGGTTTAGTAAGGGGGACCCGGAGGATGCTCACCATTTATCTAATACTCATGAGTAATTATTCAAATGGTGAATTTTATCCAAAATAGTACATTGTATTACTAGTGCGTAAAACAACCGTGCAGAGAACAACCGCTTTATGCACACTAAACCGTTTCGAAAAGTGCACTTTTGAGCCAGGTATCACAAAAGTTATATTTCTATATTCATTTACTCAATTTGAGTTGAAACCCCCTCTTTATCCTAATAGAATATTTCGGTGCATCACCACCAGATGGCGACACCTTCACATTCTTATTCGATATTTTTTCCGTTGGTCATTTTTTCCAAACGTTATTTCGTCAAATTACTTTTTTGCTCGTTTTTTCATAACGTCTGAAAAAAGTATTTATTTATTCTTAGTTGATTTTCTCATCCACCCAGCAATTAAAAGAACCGATACCCAATTTTATTCTTTGGAGTCGAACGAATATTAGAAAGTCTAAATCGGTTGAAAATTGTGGATCAGCGATATTTGTATGATGAAAACTGGAAAAAGTCAAGTGTTTATATAAAATACCGAGTAAAAGGGGTTGACTTAATCATATTTACGGCTTTTTTGCATCTCCCATTATGTATCAAAAGTCATTCGATGTAGTCCGCACGTACTCTAGTTACCATTTCATATCCATTTTAAGAGTTACGGGTCGACTTGGTGTCTTTTTAAATGTTCGTTGAATACGCCCTTGAAGGTCGCTTGCCAACAAATGATGCAAAAAAAGTTATTAATAATTTCATTGTTGAAACCGAGTTTACTAGAAAATTATTCAAGCTGTGAGAAAACAGTTGAAATGCAAAATGTTGCTCTTTTCAAACCAAACATATTAGCATGTATGAATTTGTTTCCTGTTTGGATTTCTTTCCCAGATATCCGCATCGACAAACTGGACGATTGAGTTAGCCCGGAATATCTTTGGAAATAATTGGAACAGGGAAACAATGCATGAGAGCATTCATGTTTAGTTTGACAAGAGGAATATTTTTCGACTTTTTTTATTTTAATAATTGAATAATTGAATTGTTAATTTTTTTGCATCGGTTGTCGGCAAAACGATCTCTAAATTCGGATAATTTTTTGAATTCAGATATCTAAAAACATAAAACATGCCGAGTGCACTCGTAACCTTGAGAATGGATACTAAATGGCATCTAGCGTATGGACTAGAGGGTCCGTACATGATTTTGACCCGAGGTTTGAGAAAAAAATGTTTTTTTTGTCATTTTCAGAAAAAGCACGACTTGGAACGAGAAAAACTGTTACGAGGACTCTGAATCAGTCTGAAAAGCCAAGTGGACTTGATTTGATTAATACTCTGAATGATGATTGCCTGGGGAGAATATTCATGTACCTTGATATTTGGGACAGACTCAAGATTCAGAAAGGTAATTTGGTAAATTCTAGCTTTGATAGTAATTTTTTAAAAGCCAGCGATAATATAAAACTGTTCATCTAACAAAAATTGAACTCGATCAACTATAGATGAAGAAACGGAATTTGATATTAACCCCCTGCGGGTATACTGGGGTGGTTCATCACTCCACTATTACTGCTATATTTATCTTTCACTGATTCGATTCAATCGTAATAGAAAAAATTTCAACTCTCAGTTTGCAAACGTTGGAAGGAAAATCCTCGGCTGGCCTGGGGTGATCTTCGAGTCCTGGACTCCGACAAACGTGGACAGCTGCCGCTGGACCTCTGGGACAACGCAGGCATCGCGAGAATCTTGAGGCAAGCTGGACGTTTCGTGAGAGAATTAAGACTAGTCCAACTTTGTACAAGTCTCATTTTACCTGTCGTTGCTGAGAATTGCCACAACCTAACAACATTGGAGGTTGAGCTCCCTTACCATGACATGACCTGCATCAAGTGGTTTCCGAAAATGGACGGGTTGATGTACTTTAGAATGCAGGCTAATAGCCAACATTTCTCAGAAAATTTCTTCCAGACTCTGCCGCACGAGAGCTTGATTGAGCTTCACCTCACCGTGTGCTCTACAGACAGCCGTATTCCTGCTTATGTACCTCGTGCAGCTGCCAGTGTAATTATTCAAACTATTCTTTGGTTTTTCAAATGATTACGGCAGAACTATATTGAAAGATACGAAAATTGTCGGATAAAACTTGAAAAAATTGTCTTCCAAAAGTATACCACAGCAGTATATTAAGTATGTGAAATTTATTTTCTTTCTAAAAAATTTTTCCTTCTCGTATACCCTTTCGCCATATTCGCCCACGGACAAGGGAAAACCTCATTTTGAGGGAAAAACCTGCCCAGGTACAGTCGTCTCTTGTGAGATTCCCGCTCGATAATGAAACCGTGACATTTGGAGTGTCACAAATTTTGGCCCCCCCAGCCGGGAATCAAACCCGGGTCTCCCGCATGCCAATCCCACACTCTAACCACGCAGCCGCCGCCGTCGGTATTTTCTTTTTTACTATTAACATAGTAATTTTGAATAAAAGAAACAGAATTAAGTGCACGCACGAAAAAATGATATTTAAAAGCGTCTTCAACGCTTTTCTTACTATGTTACATCGTAATTTTTTCCCGTTTTAAAATTTTGATTTATACTCTAGCGCCTTCTACATTTCACTCTACGAAACACCAGAAATTACTATGTTGACTAGTAAAAACTGCGGATCGACCGGATGGTAAGTGACCGGAGCACCTAACTAAAAGTGCCGGTTAAAGAAAAATCCTGCAGACACAACCGGAAAAAAATGAAAATCCTCCCGTTTCGCTAGGCAATTGCTATGAAGTTTCTAACATTTAGCAACTTTTATCTAAAATTAATCAACTTGGTTTCTGTGTGCGATGCTTTAAAAAACGTTCTCTCTTCTCCTCTTCCACGAATATTCGTGTTGAAAGAGGGGAAGGGGGAATTTTTTTTCATCACAATAGTACATTTCGTCACTAGGCCGTGAGGACTTTTCTGGCGAATATGAGGTTACAGGACGAGCCGAAGGCGAGTTCTGTAATTATATGAGGTAGAAAAGTTCCCACGGCCGTGTGTCGAACAATATTTTTTGTCATTAGACCCGAAAACCGCGATTTAACTGAGCGAAGCGAGTCTGGTCCTGCATTCAAGTTCTCATATTAAAAATTACTATGCTCTCATAGTAAGAAATTCCTTCATATTCTTTCCGTGTAGTTTCATCACTATACGCGACCCTGTGAATTTGGTGACCTTTACGGGGATTCCCCGTCGTGTTGTAAATAGTTCTATATTCCGTTAAATATTGATAATTTATACGTCGAGTTTCTTATTCACAATTGATCAATTTTTCACCGTTCAATTCGTCTCTTATTCGTAATTCTTCAGTTCTTTGTCTACCGCATTTTACAATTCAATTATTATTCACAATTTAGTTCCTGCTAAACTTATAATTTTCTTGATCTTTCTGACTTTGCAGTTGCTTTTCTCACTTTCAGCTCAGTCAAGTATCCATGGGATGTCACCAATTTTAGGGGTTTTGGGGGGTTCAACCAATCATTTAACAAAAAATTCAAAAATACATCCGGAGGGGGTAGCCACTGAAGGTTCAGAGAGAGTGGGTGTCGCGCGACTACCGATGGGATTTTCCACATTTTTGTCACAAAAATGTGTCACACCTCGCTTCAACCCCCAAGAAACGGAAGGGATTAACTCGTAAATCAGAAAGAAAATAAAAAACTTTTGAAAGTGTTTTAGCAGAACTCTCAAACGTCCTACCGAAATGAGTGAACTTTCAAAGGTTGAGGACTAAACCAAAATAGGATTAAATCCATAAAAGAAAATGGGAGAATATTTCCAAAAGTCTGAACAGATTTATAACACTCAAACTTCCCGGAGAAGCGACAATTTACTCGGAAAAAACATGTGACCTGAAAAATACAGCTTTTTTATTGATAATCAATTTTATTGATTTGGGGAAATCAATAATATACAATAATAATTCATTAAATATTTCAAAATATGGAACTATAAATTTTCTATTAAGTAGATAATACTAAATTTCTTCCAAGAGATTTCTGATTATTCAAATAATCGTCTCTCTTCCTAACTATTACTGATTAATGAATAATTCAAAATTTGACTATTTAAATTGATGATTACTTCAATAATTAAAATTTAAAAGTGATATTAACTAATTGACAACTTAATAACTTAACAGTAATTATAATTTATGTTTTGAATAAAAGAAAAATTTATTTTCTTTTATTCAAAAACAAGTCTTGTTTCAGAACACGTTTTGATTTCTATGAGTGGTCTGTAATAATGTACAAATCAAGGTTTTCTCAGATATTGTACCATTGAATTCTATTATCTCTTTCCATAGGCCATCGAGAAACTCACCAAACTAACAGATTTGACCCTGAACCGATTTGCCCTGACACCCCATCTGCTCGCAAGTATAAACCAGAATCCCAATCTCACATCTCTGGCTCTCCCAAACTGCTCTGTCAGAAGAGGAGTTACCCCTTTGAACCGTCTTGTCAATCTCGAGTACCTCAACCTCGCCAAGATTCTCGAAGTCGACGATCAGCTTGTGATGCAGATCTCGGACACTTGCAAAAAGCTGAAGTCCCTGAATCTCAGTGATTGTCACAATCTGACTGACAATGGAATCAGTAAATTGCACAATCTTCAGCTTGAGGAACTGTACCTGAGCGGTGTATTTAGGATTACAGATCTGCACTTGGCTCAGATGCATACACTCAGGAAGTTGGAGTGTCACTGCTGCAGCAATATCCACGACAATGGGATACTCACCCTCATGCGGTCTGCACCTAATTTGGAGTGCCTGAATCTGTGGAGTACTGGAGTGAGTTCGAAGGTTCTCACAGAGGCAGCCACCATCATAAGGCAAAGGAACACCGATGTCCCATTTCGCATTTTTGCTAGTCTAAACGTGCGACCTTATATTGACGATGATGATTGGTTCCCTTTCCTGATCATCAATCATCGCTCCCGAATGATCGATTCAAGCAGCTCTGATGACAGTAGCGACACTGAAGATGCAGAGGATGATGATTAGTTTGATTATCGGGAACGCATCAACATGTAGAGACTCAGCGAACAATCATAAATACCAATTTATTGATCTTAAGAGAGGCTATTGAGTTTAATTCATCCGATTCATGCTTATGTGATAATGATCCATTAAAAATGGCTTAAGAAACAATTTACTTTTCTCGACAAAATTGAAGCTTCAGAGATATGATTTTTTTCACCTCAAAATTTATCGCAAATTCATGGAAAGGGTGAGAAAAAATGTAACTTGTCTGGAAACAATAAAAGAGTGATTTGATAATTTATACTAGTTTTGAAGGTTTTGGAAGATATGGTGGAGAAAAGTGGGGCAAGCTTGATGGTTGAACGTTTTTAACTGTCAATGTTTCGAGAACGCCATACTGACAAATCGCTTGCCGTTTCTAATCAAAATAATGTGCAGAAATTATTTTTCCAAACTAATTGTACTTTAATTATTATTCAACACGTTTGGCTTTTGTTTTCATCTAGACCTGCCCAGATGCCGAAGAGATACCATGTCCAGAATTTGAGGAACAAGGCAGAGACGATATTCGCGTAAAGTAGCTCTATCCTTAGGGGCTCATTTTTCAGTTTTATTTTTTTTTAATATAAATAATTAGCCGAAAACTCGATGAGATTCGGAATCCTATTTTTTTGCCATTTATTTGTCATTTTCGTTTCTATGAATAATAATGGTTTGAAGCCATCATTCAATTCAGCTTCTTATATGAAGATTGCCAAATGATGCATATCTCCGCTCAAATAAACGATTAAAATCTTTTTTTTTCCTAAAGAAAGAGAAACAATAATTTAAAATATTGGCACTTGTTTAATCATGATTTATCGTTTAATTATTTTCATTATTAACAATATTCATTCAGAATCACCTAGGACTAGAAGCAGAAATAGACATGACAACGGCCATAGTCATGGCGCTAGTTCCGCTCATCTCCCACCTGTCATATGAGGTGCTCATCACAAAGTTAGATTTTCATAAATCATAAGTTAGCAAAAAATGACAGAAAATGTCATTATATGTCAAACAGTGAGAAGCGCTCAGGAGCGCTCAAGACCCCCCACTAAACCGCAAGTTGCACGCGCAAACACATTGTGGGAACATTAATTTATCTGAAACAGTAAGTAATTTTACACATTCGATCAATTTGTTGTTATTGGTTATACCAATTTGTACATTGATTTCATGAGGAGTCTCATGAATTGCTGAAGACTTGACACACCAGGCAGAGATTTTTACTCTGTTCTCAGTCTTCTTAGTGACCCCAATGTGAAATATAAAATCAGACGACAATTCTATCACTTTCGACACACGCTCGTTTATTTTCTGCTCTGGACTCTCATCCCCAACATAATTAAATATATCCTCCAGATTTAATTCCAATAAGTCCCTCATATTAATAATTATTAATAATTATACGGTTTGAAGGCTCTCACATCACGTATACTTATAACCTAGAATAATTTATAGTTTGCTTACTAAAATATTTGAATCGGTACATTTTAGGTCCGCCATTTTTGTGTTCATCAACGCCATCTGACGCTCATTTAACATCGCGAATTAAGAGGATTATCAAACGATGAATTATATATGACAGAACAAAATAAAATGCAAAATGACCATTCGGAAGTGTATTGCTAATTTATTAGCAAAAATAACCATACTATATTACGGAGAAAAAAGCAATTTCCGAAACACCCAAAACATATTTTTGAGTGACTGCATGTGTGATAAATACATCAATAAGCAAAAATAACAATACTATATGACGATAAACGTAATTTCCCACTTGTTTCATTCCATTCTTGGCTTTCAAGTTATCCAATTATCAATCATCATTCGAACAATTTTTCATTTCACATAGAGAATCCGATTTGTAATTTACGCGCGCTTTCTTGAACAGCGCCGTCGCGGCCGCATTGCTCATTCTCATGAAAGTTCACATGAAAATGCGTCCTTCATGCGCCGCCATGACACTTTTTACATGTCCTCCGCCATGACAGTTTCCAATGCATGCTTTTTTTTATAAAGGAACTAGCGCCGCCGCGGCCGCGACGTTGATGACCTTTCATTGTGTTTCTTATCATCTTTGATTTTTGTTAATTACAAAAATTAATGAATTATCGGTTCATCATACAAAGTGTTGAGGGTAATGAAAGCAATCCAGCTCGGTGCCAGTTGAATACTTCAATGAGTGATTGACTAATTCTGAATTTCCGGGCTCACTAAATGAGGTTCTGATTATAATTATAATTGAAATTATATTCAGAATGCA